CAATTGGTTTAAAGAGAGATAATGCACTACTGGTTTTAAAATCCCCAATAGCATTAGACAAAGCAATACCCCCTGGCCTTCTAATAAGAAATTGCCCATTTCATACACCAAGCATCAGTTGCCAGGAATGGGGAAACTAGAATTTCCAGATGTTTCTGAACTGTGTCTCCCAGGATCCCAGTTTATTGGCCATGTGGGAAGGAGCTGCTAGGAGTTGTAATTCAGCTCCTCACCCTGACTATATAGCTGCTACACTAAGCATCCATTTGTATACTATCTTATGAATCCCTGAGCTTCTTTCTCCTCTGCAAATAATTGTGGGCCACCTGTTTTCTTTGAACACAGAAGCTCCTTTCTGTTGGCTTCAGGTTGATCTTGCTCAGTGGAAAGTGATTTTGCCTGTTTTTATGGCAAACATCCATCCTGTATTTACACAGGATTAAGCCTAATTCAACTCAGTGGAATATTTTTAAGTGGACACATACAGGATTGCACAGTCATTCAGACCAACTGCTTTCTTGTCACGAATATAAAAGAAAAGAAAACCTGACATTCTTTAGGCCCCACAAAACAGAGCAAAAAAATAAAGAAAATCAAATGAAATGATGCTACTACCAAAATAAAATACTTTGTTTTAGGAACATTCCACTCATGCTGTACATGTAGTTTTCACCAATAGGGGTACAGTATAAATCTTGCCTTGGTGAATGACTCTGAAGAGGCTCCATCTAATGTCCCCAGAAACTGTCTTCAAATCCCTATCAGTGAGCTGCCAAATATGAACTCCCCCCCCCTCCTCCTATTTTTAGGTGCTTTATGCAGTAATTCCCTCTATCAGTGTCTTTAGAGAAAAATTCTGTGTGGCCCAAAAGAACAGAAATTACAAAGAGGCAAATTGCTTGTGTGTATAGTGCATTGGCTATCCCTCAGATAAGCTGTGTCTCTTAAAGAGAAAGTCGGCCGCTTGTTATTTTAAAAGAGAAGACTGTAGAATCTGAAATCTGTTCTCTTTGGCCAAAGACCAATCAGTCTGGACAGTCTTCAAACACAATTTCTCTGCAGCTGAGCCACACTCTGAGAATTGTTGCTTCTTGCAGAACAGCTGATGCAACGCCCCCTCCAGCCTCTCTGAGCCAGGAAAGATCAGAAATGTAATTTGTAATTGGCTGGAAGTGTCTCCCACACATCACTCTGTAACCTCAGCCTGGTTCTAGATTAGTCCATGGTAGAACAGCCTGCCCGCCCTGAGAATAAAGTAGACCCACAACAGTTACTTGTTAATAAAGATTGGGAGAGCAGCAGCTTGCTCTGAATAAGATGCCAGATGTTCTGGAGGAAGCAATGTTTTCTTTGTATGTGGGCAATATGTGTGTGTGTGTATGTAGGTCTAGGTGTGTTTGGGTATTAAGAGTATCTTGGCGACGTTTCGGCAAGGTCCCAATCACCATCCTCAGGCTGGTGCTTTTGGCTTCGTGCCAGTGCAAGCAGTGTGTGATCGGAGTTGCCGTCTCTCTATAAATACTGGTGGTGGGGGCTGGTGTGCTGCGCTGGTTGTCTGTGCTTCTGCCTCTTGATTGGTTGATGGAGTTGATCACAGCACAAGACCAAGGATATCACAACAATAAGTCTCACAAGGTCATCACACAACCCATTACCCAAGCCATTAAAACATGAGAAGCTAATGGAAAAAAGATCACTACAAAACAAATGACCCAGGAGATTACAGCATAAGATCCAGAATATCTCCACAACAAAACTCACAAGACCATCACACAGCCCATTATACCCACATTAACTCCATCAACCAATCAAG